TAAAAAAATAAGATATTCATTAAACTAGAGTTATTAGTTATATTATTAATTTCTGGCCAAGGAGTCAGGTTAGTCTAGGCTAGTGGTCGACAAACCACCGCGGCTCGAGAGCCCCATGCGGCTCTCTGGCCCCTTGAGCGTGGCTCTTCCACAAAATACCACGTGTGGGCGCCCACGTACAGTGCGATTGAAACTTCATGGCCCATGCGTAGAAGTCAGTTTTTGGCCTGGGCGAGTCTATTTTGAAGAAGTGGCATTAGAACACTCAAGGGACCAAAGAGCCGCATGTGGCTCGTGAGCCGCAGTATGCCGACCACTGGTCTAGGCAGCTCTGCCCAGGGGAAGGGGCTAAAGAAGAGCGGGGTGGGAAGGAGCTGGGGTGTGGTCACTCAGCTCCAGCTGTGGCCTGCACATGGCATGGCAGAGAGCAGAGCCAGAGTGTGGGGCCGAGGCAGAGGGACCGCCGAGGCTGGGTGTGTGTACCTCTGTGTGTACTCTTCCCTCGCCAGCCCTTTAGGACGCAGGGCAGTCTTGAAAGCACAAGTCAGATCATGCTACTCTATTGTTTAAAACTTTCTCCCTGCACATGACACTTGAAAGTTTTGAGTTCCTTTTTTGTTTCTTCAGTTTATCCCCCACTTCCTCCAAAGAAGAGGGTTTCAAGAGGGGAATAGATTTAGTCGTCATTCCCCCAGGCACTGAAGATAAGAAAGAAGAAAACTGTGACCTCCTAAATTCTCTCTACGTTCAATCTGGTGCCCTCCATAAACAGAGAATGTATCGAGGCCTGGGATGTGGGGAACTGACAGTGCTTTCTCAGAAATGGAAAGGCTGAGATCATTTAGCTCAACTCTCTCACTTTATAGATAAGGAAGCTGAGACACAGAGGAGGCAAATGACATCTTAAGTGAGTGCCAGGGCTGAACCAGCCACTCATGTCTCCTAACTCCTGTGAATTAGATGCCCTCAACGGATAGACAGCTCTACAGAAGAAGGGAATTGAGGCTGGCAGGCAAGGATGGCAAGGCCAGGCAGATGGGGGGGGGTGAGGGGGGGTGAAGAGGCAGCTGGTAGGAAATGGAAATGCTGTGAAGAGTCAAAATATCCATTCCTGCTGGCTTTGTCCCCAGGAAAGACTATGCCCCCAAATACTCCTTAACAGAGGCATAATCAGTGACACATAACCACATGGATGGGTTGCCCAAAGCCCATGGCATGTCATTTGTGCCTAAGGACTGAGCATCCCCATTTACTAAGCCTCTTAATCCAGCTCTTTAACTTTCTTCTTTTTTTATTTATTTATTTTTTATTTATCATTATTTTTTAAATATATTTTATTGATTTTTCACAGAGAGGAAGAGAGAGGGATAGAGAGTTAGAAACATTGATGAGAGAGAATCATCGATCAGCTGCCTCTTGCACACCCCCCCACTGGGGATGTGCCCGCAACCAAGGTACATGCCCTTGTCCAGAATCGAACCCGGTACCTTTCAGTCCGCAGGCCGACGCCCCATCCACTGAGCCAAACCGGTCCCGGCAAACTTTCTTCTTTTTTTAAGACAGTTGAAACCTTCTCTGCCTTTTTTTGTTTAGTTTGTGGCTGCAGTTTAGAATCTACCTGCCCATTTGCCTCAGGTTCTAGGCTGAAGGAAAATGAAGAAGATGATGATGGTGACCTTGGTCAATGTGACGTGCTTGCCATATTCTGCTATTCTGAAAAGGAGCATAGAGGGGGAAATTAACAAGTTCATGAGTTGACATTATGTTTTTTTCCTCTATTATGAGGAATACTGCCTCTATTTTGTGAAGCATAATCATTTGTTAGTTTCAGCAAGACATTTAACTGCCCACTAATAAGGAAACAATAAAGGCATTTAGTGTGCTAGTTTCTGGGATGTGAAGTGTAAGCTGTGGTCTGTCTTTGTGTGTTTTTAGCTTTCAGTTATGATAACAGGCTTTCAGACTGAAGGGGGCCGTGGAGGATGGCCAGCCACACTACCACCCCCTGTGCAGGGAGCCACCTCCCGGGTCCCTTCCCTCAGCATCCCCACAGCAATAGCCTCTGCCTCTGTCAAAACACTCATTTTCCTCTAAATTACAGTTATTTGAGGACTTTTCTTAAGCCTCAACTGTGACCCCCTAATGGGCAGGAATCCTGTCTCATTCCTCTTTGATCTCCCACAGCCCCCAGCACAGAGACCGGCCCAGTCTCCATAAATATTTGAATGAGTGGCAAGGTGTTAATAGCCTCAAGAAGGCAGCACAGTCAGACATTTCTAATAGCTGGAAAGTTCTTCCTGAACCTAAGCAGAAGTCTGCCTCTTTGGGTTCCCTGTGGGGAGAATAGAAATAGGCGGTGATGACAGAGGGCCAGCCACCCAAGAGGTCCAGGAAGGACCCTGGACACAGGCTGCTGCCCAGCTCTTATTGCTTTTCTTGCTTCCTGTCTGGCCGAAAGAACACAAGGTCTTTTTCCAAGGACAGGAAAACCCAGCAATCCCAGACAGTCATGGATACACGTGTGTGCGGGGACCAGTCCCAGGATTGGAATCCAGGTGGCAGTGCCCCGCCCACATCTCCTCAGCCCACCCTAAAAGTCATCTGCAGACAGTTCCCCCCACATTCTGACAGCTCCCTGGGTTTCTCTGCCCAGGGTCACGCTCAACCTGTGGCGTGTACTTGGCCTGGGTGGAGGTCAGGCTGGAAATGCCAGGGAGTTACCCCAGGAGAGACTTGCAACAATGTTAAGGTGACCAGATGTCTCGCTTTTGGCAGGACAGTCCCGATTTTTCACTATTTGTTCCCCCCGTCCCAAGGTGTTTTAAAAAAGATTTAAAAGAATCTTTCCAAAAATCAGGACTTTTTTAAAACGCTGTGGGACACGGGACAAATTGTTAAAAATCAGGACTGTCCCGCCAAAAGCGGGACATCTGGTCACCTTAAACAATGTGCAATGAGCAAACACCCCAGATTCCTCACCTCTCGGTGGGACAGCTCAGAAGAACGTTCAGGAGGGATGCCCCCCCCCCCCCCAGTTGCTCATAACAGTAACCCTCTTGTGTACACACCCTTTCTTCGTTTCTCCCTGTCCTCTTTGACTTCCCCACTCCCTCACTGTGCTTCCTGGGATCCCATCCAAGTAAACTACCTGCCCCAACCCTTGTCTCAGGGTTCTCTTCGGGGGAACACAATCAGGAAATGTGAGGGAATCTAAATATTGCTCCTTTAGAAGACAGGACTTTTCAAATCAGTAAATGCCTTTTTTTCCTTTTTCCTTTGTATTTCTAAGTGCAGAGTTGGTTTTTCTGTCAGTTCTATAAATAGAGTTTAATTTTAAATAGACTCTATGTCCTAACTCAGAAAACAGGGCTGATAATGACTTCTAAATCTCTGAAGGATCGTTATTTCAAACAACAAGTAGGATATTCTAGTCCATGAAGGAAATATACTATGTCAGAAAGATCTCGGGCCAGACTAAAGAAATGCATGGGGGTCATTAGACATCAGGATGGATTTGTGTCCACCTGTGACACTCAACCTTTTAAACTACACGGAGGTTTTTAAATGAAGAGGGTCCTTATCTACCTGGCTCAGGTTTTGGGATGGAGTGCTTAGGGAAAAGCTAAGATGAATGGGTACCATGAGGGATGAGGGAAAGAAAAGTAAAGAACCTTATTAAACGTGCACAGTATCAATGAGTTACCCCTGAGCTATTGGAACCAAGAGGAAATGCTGTTGTTGAAGAATATTTGTTGTCATTGGAGAATATTTGTAACAAAGATCGAGGCTGTACAGGCCGCCTGCCATCCTTCTTCAGGCAGACCCTGTGTGAGTCCAAAGGGCTCTCTGTGGGTGCCACACTGTTGCTTGATGGTTAATAGGAGGTAGCAGTTAAAAATAACCACGCTCACTGGTCTTATGTTTGTGTGGGGTTTTTTTGGTCTTGTTCCTTCCCAGAGAGTTTTCTGCTAGCTTAGTAGGAAACAGCGCCCATGGTGGTCATGAATTTTAACTGGCAATGGATGATGGGAATGAGTGTGAACAATACCTCAAGATAAAAGGAATCAGCAGGGCCTGGAGAGCCCCACAGATGCCTTTTGGGGTCACGTGGGGAAATGTCCCTAAGTAGAGATCGGAAAAGGCTCCATCGATCTTTAGCATGGAAAAAGGTCGTGGCTTTAAATGTTCTCTTTATTTAAATCCAACCTGATGGCCAGCGCCTAGTTCTTTTGGAGGAGGGAGCAGTGTGGGGGCAGCTAAGGCTTCACTTGTGATTGGAAGATGTGGAGTTAATGGTGTAACATAAGCCTTATGCCCTCTTGGATGTGCATTGCTGCCCTGTTGTAGGTGGCAGTAATGCCCCAGGTACAGTTCTCTCCTGAGAAAGAGAGGTGCTTTGGCCTCCTTAGTCGGAGCCATTGCTTGCAGAGAGTAACTCTTAGAACTAGTGTCCCGTTGACACGACCTTCTAAGATGATAGTGAGGTTTACTGAGGCAGTCCACTTTGCGTGGACTGGATTTATGTGCATTAGTAGTTGGCACTGAAACTATTCTGGTCTCCAGAATAAAAAGCCTCCGTGACTGTACCTGCTATCTGTAGAAACTTTATTATAGACAAAGACTTACCTTAGGCCCAAATCGGATATGCTGTTGTGGTCTATATCAGTGGTCGGCAAACTCATTAGTCAACAGAGCCAAATATCAACAGTCCAAAGATTGAAATTTCTTTTGAGAACCAAATTTTTTAAACGTAAACTATATAGGTAGGTACATTGTTATTAACCTAATTAGGGTACTCCTAAGCTGGCCTTTGCTAAAAACTCAGGGGGCCAAAGAGCCGCACGGGGCTCGAGAGCCGCAATTTGCTGACCACTGGCCTACACCATCCTCTCATACTTTTTACTTGGGGTAGCTTTCTTCCCCAAACCCTCACCCTAATGGTGCTCAGTGGATGCCTACTCAGCATGTGCCACAAAGCGCTCACTTTCCTTTCCTTCCAGAATGCCTATGTCAACATCAACCGCATCATGTCCGTGGCTTCCCGCCTCTCTGAGGCCGGCCACTATGCCTCGCAGCAGATCAAGCAGATCTCCACGCAGCTGGACCAGGAGTGGAAGAGCTTCGCGGCTGCCCTGGACGAGCGCAGCACCATCCTGGCCATGTCCGCAGTGTTCCACCAGAAGGCCGAGCAGGTGAGGCCACGGGGGCTGCTGGGGTTGTGGTAGGTGGGAAGGGGGAGGACCCGGGAAGGGGCAGGTGGGAGGAGAGGCACCTTGTAGAGAGCCCGGCTCCTCTTTGAAACCCTGGAGGCCCTGCTGAGTCATTGCCACAGTAACAACCCAGTCTGCCTTTTTCGTGGCCCTGTGTACATGAAGGAACAGTGGTGGTTGTGCTTATCATCCAGACGAGAAGGACCCAGGGCCTGTTACTTCCCCGGGGTAGTTTATTGTTGTCTGTCCTTGTGTGGGCTGACTTTTAGTTTGCGTTCCCTGAGCATAGACCAAAGCGGTGAAAGAGTCATAGAGTCCTGAGAGCAGGGGACACTGATTTTATTATGGGCAATAATAATGTAGCATCAACACTAGAAGTAACAATGATTTGTTCTCATTTGCTTACTGGTGTTGGCCAGTGACATTCCGACTTCTTTTACAGAGAGGATTCTCGAAGCTCAGAGAGAGTAAACACCTGCCAGAGATCCAGTGGTGTGCTGGAGCTGGCTCTGACCAGATTCTGGAGGCCTAGTTGTTAAAATTCCAGAAATGTTGTGAACTGGTTGTTAAATATAGATGTTACTTAAAACTAAATTTATATCAAATATGTCATATTTAAAACAAAGCCAACACATATTTAAACTGATTACACCTAATTATTTTGTTACATTTCATTATCTAAGTTCTTGACATTGTTTATTATTTATTTGGAAGTGCATATCTGTGGTGGAAATACTATATAGTGTGTGCTACCAGTCATCGCTGCCTAACTCTATGTTTGGTGAGGTCACTTGAGGGTTTTACAGCCTGGGAATCATCAAATGCTATAAACCACAGCTTGATCTATTGCTTTATTGATTGCCTAGACTCTAAAAGGGAGAGAGTATTTAGAAGTGCAAACTAAACTTGAAATGTGTCTTGTCTGTAGTGCTTACGTTGTGAATAGCACACAGAATTGAAGAAATAGCCTTCTGATATTGAGAAATGATTATTCCATTCAGCCAAGAAGTCCCTCTCATCACTGACGAACAAGTAATGCTTTGACATAAGTCTTGAGGTATTTTTACTTTTGTCTTACACCAAAATTGAAACTATTAACCAGCTTTCATGCCAAAACTATACAACTATGTCACATGCAAAGCACCCTGTGAGCATCAGTTGGCTACATGGAATTTACAATAAAGAGCATTGTGAATGTTATTATTCTGTGTATGTTTTGCATATCTTTCATGTTAGTAAAGTTTATAATACATATGTGTGTATGCACATACATATATATGCTGGTGGTTAGACATTTATTAACATACCACTGTGAAATTCACACAATTTACGAACAACTGGGATTTCAACCAATGTGTGTCTAGCAATGAAGTCTGTGGTCTTGACCTCTACATTTCTTTCTTTGTATGACATTTGGTAGCTCACAGATAATGAAGAGTTGGACACAAGATCATAATCTTTCCCTCTGCTACCCACCTAATGTGGAAGGCAGTATGGGATCATTGAGAGTCCAGGCTTGGTGAACAGACACATGGAGGTTCCCATCGCAGCCCCATGATTGCATTAGGCAGTTCATCCCACCTGTCTAAGCTTATTTCTTCATCTCACCTGTCTAAGCTTAATTCCTCATCTCTAATGTGGGGTAATGCAAACTCCACAGCATAGTAGAGCATGGTGCCTTGTGTGCTTTTTAAATGGCAGATTGTACTGTGGGTCTGTCTTCAACATACTCTCCTGGAGTTCTGTATTCCCTTCACTATGCCTGTTTCCACCTGAGACTTTCCAAAGTCTAAAATACTTGTGTTATGAGGCAAGGGCAGCCAATCATTGAGAGCGATCTAGCCACGTTTTTTTGTTTGTTTGTTTGTTTGTTTGTTTGTTGTTTTTTAAGATGCTAGTGGTAATGGCCAACTGTGGCTGGTTCATAATAAGGACCATGAGAATATTATTCATATCTAATCATCCAGATTGACAAGAAGACTCATGCATGCTTCCTTCCCTGTCTATCTTTCCTGAGCTCCCATTTTGTGGGATCTGCTATAGGATTCTTGTTAGAGGACTACAGAGAAATTGCAGGGACTTTAAAGAGGTACCTCCATCCACAATTGACAAGGAATGTCAAGATGTTGTCATGCTTATTTATAAAATGGTTATTGGTGGAGCAGAGAAGTTTCTAAGATGTTATCAAAGCAGTCTGATGCTGGATAGCACCCAGGACTCTTCTAGAATTGTTAAGAGATGTCCTAATGTAAACACACACACACACACACACACACACACACACACACACACACACACACACACTGAACAGTCAGCCACAGAACCAACAGCCTAAGACTGAAAGCTGATGGTGACACCACGATTGGAACTCAAGTACTTACAGAAAATGCAGTGGCTGGAGGAGTCAACTGCTCACTGTGGTTTCCTTAATTTGGATCAGAAGCCATTTTATTTGTATCTGTTTTTAATGCAGTTTCCTCAGATATTACCACTTCTTCAGGGAAACTCATAAACATGATTCTCTTTAGCTAGGGGGGAAGCACACACCAAACAGATTCGGGCTGTTTTTTCAATGCGTTTGTTTAGACAGATCTCTATTGTCCTCACGTGGGCTGTTCTAGGCAATGAGGTAAAGAGGTCTTTAGGCAGTTAATTTGAATGGTGCTGTGCACCTACGTGAGAGGAATCACAGACAGAAACATTCCAGGCTGGTGGGTGAAGAATTATTTGCATATTTAAGGTGTATTTTTCCATCCAATAACTCTGAGTGATTTCAGTTGGCTTGCCCTTTGTGCGCAGAGACCCACAGTCCTCCACAGTTGTTAATTTTCATTTTTAAATAATTTTATTTCTGTCAAGATCTATATATATCACATTGCAGGAGCCACTGCCACTGCAGGCACAGTACAGTCTGTTCCCCTAGGCCACCCCTCCCCCTCCCATTCCAGGGCTACTGACCCAGCGGTAGGGATCTTCTTGAGGGTTAATCTCCATTCCTTGTGGAAAACATCTCTGTAAGTTCCCTGAGAGGCCTGTATGATATGTTCCTCACTCCTCTTCAAACTCGGTGTCCACACTACAAAGTACCTGAATGGAAACATCCCCTTACATTCAATGTAGCCCCTCCCATGTGCACAGGACAAGCAGCTCTAATGTATACATGCAATGTAGTGTGCTTTTTGCACACCTATATTGCATAGTCATTGTGTGGATATAACCTGATGAACCTGCAGATGGCTCCCACCTCCAGCAGTTTCATAATAGTTACCTTTGTCTGTGGAAACCACACTTCCTTACTGCGTCTGACTTCTTACATGGAGTTAATATTTATACAATTAAAGGAAATCCTCCGCCCTCTGCAGGGGTCTCTGAAGGCTTCCAGAGATCCTGATGCTTCTTCCCAAGGCATGTGACCACCTCTACTATATAATCTGCCCATTGCCCAACCCAGTGCCCACACTGACCCAGTTGGCATCTACTTCCAGTTCCTGTCAGGAGTGGATGCCTGGTGCAAGATGTGCAGTGAAGGTGGCCTGCCATCAGAGATGCAGGACCTGGAGCTGGCGATTCACCACCACCAATCTCTGTATGAGCAGGTGACGCAGGCCTACACAGAGGTGAGTACCCAGCAGGACACCCAAGGGTCCTAACTGTGTGTGTATGGGTGGGTGGCGACAGCACCGGCCTGTACACTGTGGAATAGCCTAGGTTAGACTAAGAAGAAGAAAGGCCACTTTCCCCTCTTTGGAGACTCTTTATGATCTTTGGTCTATGAATGATGGTGTCTCCAGCCAGGAAGCAGAAAAAATGAGGCCATCAGTAGGGTTTACCTGGGTATATATGTGTGTGAGTGTGTGTATGTGTGTGCACACGTGTGCACGGTTGAGAAACCCAGGAGCATGCATGGTGTATCCTCAATTTTAGGGTCCTTCCTTTACTCTGCATATTCTGGAATGATGGGGATGTCACCACTTTCAGGAGGAAAAAAAATGGTTGTATAGGAGGAGAGCAAAAGAAGGATCAATATAGAAGAAATTGACAAGGAAAGAAAGGAGACAGGAGAAAGAACTGATGATGATGTTGAAGAAGACAGAACTGATAGCCAGTCTAAGTGCCCTGGGTGTGTTAACTCATTTAATCCTCACCATAACCCTAGGTATGCACCATCACTCTCCCTCTGAGTTCCTCAGGCAAGGAAACTGAGGCCAAAGATGTTAGATAACTTTTCTCTGGTCACACATCTAGAAGTTTGGAACAGGTAGGGGAATGTGAAGAAGAAAGATGGGGAGAGGTTTATGATGTCGACCATATACTCAGCTTCATTTCTGAAAAGTTCTGCTGCCTGACCTGTCAGTTAGTTAGTCAGAATACTTAACCAGTATTATGTGCCAGGGACTGGGTGCTACCTTGCAACTCCTCTTCCCCAGACTCCGTTCTCCCCAGGGCTGCGGGCTGGGCACCGTGGCAGCTCTGGCTGGCCTGCTCCTTGACTGCCATCAGTCTGAGTAGGATTAGCCACCACTTCTGTCTGTGCCCCTGTCTGCCACTCCTCTCCTTTGACATAACCCTCTTTCCTTCCTGCAGGTCAGCCAGGATGGCAAGGCCCTGCTGGATGTGCTGCAGCGTCCCCTGAGCCCTGGGAACTCCGAGTCCCTCACGGCCACAGCCAACTACTCCAAGGCAGTGCACCAGGTGCTGGACGTGGTGCACGAGGTGCTGCACCACCAGCGGCGCCTCGAGAGCATCTGGCAGCACCGCAAGGTGCGGCTGCACCAGCGGCTGCAGCTCTGCGTCTTCCAGCAGGACGTCCAGCAGGTATCAGGCCCCTGTCCCCGACACCCACCCCAGGCAGGCAGGTGGCGGAGTCCCTGACCTGGGTGGTCAGGCCTGGGATCATCTGATTTATGAAGAGAAGAGGGCAGTTCAGCCCCAGCTGCACCCCCTGTCCCCCGCCCTCTCCCCAAGAAAAACGACCTGGACTTGTTAATTGCATGCTTTTCTCAACTAAGCAGCCCTGTAGACTGGGCCTTCTCACCCTGAGGTTTTGAGAAGAGAGGCAGCCTGAGGAATAGCAATTCCATGCGGTTATATGACGTTTCCTTTGGGGAGAGCTGAACCCTCACTTAGGCATGAGCTGTCTGCACAATTCAGAGGCCTGGGGTTCTCTGAGCACTGTCAGGGTTGGACTCCACATAAAATGAATTTGTTTCTTAATTATGGATGCAGGTGGCCTGCTAAAATGGAGTTTGAGTGGGATACAGAGCCTTCAGGGGATTCTTTGGCAAGATTGGACTTGGGAAACCAGATTTAAAGCATGAGCTGTTGACGACTGTATGTCCGTCCCATAATGAGAGGTTGTTTCTAGCTTAACCTGTCTTTTTGCAAATGATAAAGATATGGTCGTGTTTCTGACTTTAAAAGGACAGCCTTGCCACAAATGTCCTTTGGGATGAAATCACCTATTCTTCTCCCCTTATGCTTTCTCTCTCTGTCTCCCTGGGGACTTCTAGGGCTTTGCTTTAAGGCAGTGTTTCCCAAAGTGTGGTACGCGTACCCCCAGGGGTACGGGAAGAGTTGGGTGGGGGTACGCGTTGCACCGGAGTTTGGTGGGGATATGCACTGCACCATGCTTAGCTGCACCTAATTCTGCGTTCTCATGAGTAAGAGGGGTACTCAGCATTACGAAAATTATAGAAGGGGTACACATATGTCAAAAGTTTGGGAAACACTGCTCTAAGGTAAGGTGACCAGACATCCCGCTTTTGGCAGGACAGTCCTGATTTTTAACAATTTGTCCCGCGTCCCGATTTTTGGAAAGATCTTTGAAAAAAATGTTAAAAATCGGGACTGTCCCACCAAAAGTAGGACATCTGGTCACCTTACTCTAAGGACTAATGGGGGGAGAGGGAAGGGAGCTGGTTGGGAGCTGAGGACTGGATGGAGACCCAGCATCATCTTCCTGCTGGTGCACTGTGAGAGGCAGGGGTGGGGGCACTTGTATTATTAGATCTCTATGTAACCAACACATAAGATTATATGTATAAAGTGATATTTCACTCCCCTCCCATACCTTCTACACATGTAATCCAAAAATGTATCAAAACATGCAGGGGGGCAAAAGTAGGTTTACAGCTGTGAGTATGCAAAACGGAATTTATTTTTGTGCTATTGTTTATTGATTATTGCATTATTTTCACCATGAACAGATGTAACCTACTTTTGCCCCACCATGTACATGGAAAATGGAGAGCCAGCTGGACATATCTTTGGAAGCTGATTCCTTTCACCGCTATTGTTGGAAGGCCTGGCGGTGGGTGTCCTGAGATAGAGGCAGGGTAGAGGGAGAGTGGGGCATCCTGCACCGGCTGGGACCCGCTCCGGGTGCAGGTCACTGTGCAGTGAGTCCCAGAAGTACCAGGCCTTCAGTAGTGTCCCCCATTTGGGTAAGGTGACCAGACATCTCGCTTTTGGCGGGACAGTCCCAATTTTGAATAATTTGTCCTGCGTCCCACTGCACTTTAAAAAAGTACCGATTTTTGGAAAGAATGCACGACAAGCTAGGGAATGGCGAGAGAATGGGAAGGGAATATACGGTTTTTGGCGACCATGTGGCTATTTAGCCAGGATATGAGTTTTATATTATTTTTGTTAATTTTATAATGTTAATTTTTAATAATAACAAATAATTGTTGAGAACTGATTATCAAGAACTGCTTATCAAAGTTCGCAACGACGAAAACATTTTGTAACTGTCTCTCAAACAATACACATCATACTGTGTGCTAGATAAACAAGTGATGTCATTACAAATCAGCTATTCAGATAATTTAGGTAAGTAATTTATTTATTTATTTTGTAAATACATAAATTTTCTTGAATTTAGCAGACAGTACTCGTATTATTTATATTTTAGTGGTGGCAAAAAGTCTAGCGCCGGCCTTGAAAGTGACACACACAACTTACGTTACAATTAAGTGTTGAGACTTTGAAAGCCATTTTATGTGTGAAATATAATTTAATAAATTCTTGTGAAAAATTTCATGACCTTTTAAACAATGACAGCAATATACTAAAAAAATTCACTCAAATGAGAAATATGCCAAAGAATAAAATAATACTATACATAACTTTTTAATTTATTATATTTGTAAATCGTACTTATGTTGACATTTTTAAAAAATATATTACAATACTATTTTTGTGTTCTATGAAAATTTTTGTTGCTCCATATAGACCAATTTTTTAATCAAGAACACCCCCAACCCCAGGTCAATGGTGTCCCGCTTTACCAATGTTAAAATCTGGTCACCTTACATTTGGGGGCTGCCCTAACCTCCTTGCAGCCCTCCCTTCGTCAACCTGGTAGTGATTGAGGCATTAGAGGCAACGCCTGAGCCTCAGGAAAGACGACCCTGCTGAAACTGGGGCCTGCTGGGAATAGAGGAGCAAGGGGGTCAGTTGCCTGCTCCAGCCATTGGGAGCTATCCAGAGGAATGCATCAGCCTGAGCACAGGAAGGCACAGGGTCTGCCTGTAACTGAGATGGGGAGGTGCCAGGTTCCAGCGTTACTGGTTCAGTGAACTCTGAGGGACCCATGGAGATCCCCAGGACCATGGATTGTGTAGCTTTCTTGTGTGCTCTTTGCCCGCCTGTTTTGAGGGCTGTTATTCTAGGTTGGACACTGGAAAGGGGAGAGGGGCTGTGAGGAGGGCAGGCAGAGACCTCCCCACCAGGAAGGCAGCATCCAGACCCAGACTATCTGGGAGCTGTTAGACTGACCCGTGGCCACCGTGGCATCTGCGCTAAAGCCGGGAAGAAGTGTATTAAACTACACCCGTGGCTGTTCTATATCATGCTCTTAAATAATGAGAGCATTTCTGGAAATGAAACTCCATTAATTCATTTCTCCTGAACAAATCACATTGTTGGCACTGAGGAAAAGCAAGTGAAAGGTTTCTACTTGGACATGATGGAGTTTTGGATTTCCCCTGAGAACGGAATTCCCCAGGATGGTTCATTCCGTTGTCCTTTTCGGGTTAGGAGACTATCACTTCTGGGAACATCACTTCACATGCCCATTGTCCCACTCACTCTGTCTCACCACGTATCAGACATTGGCACAGATGCACAAGAAAAATGTGCAAAACAAAGGCTACCATACCTGCAGTGATCTCAAATGCTTACCTGACACCCAAACAACCATGTGTCCGACAGGGTGTCTGAGCCCGTGTTTCAGAAGGTGCTGGACATAATGCACTAATGGTTAGAGTGAAGGACTTCTAGCTCCAAGAACTTTTATGTAGTTATTGTTTTTTGTTTTTATATATTATATAAAACTTCATATACTGTATGTCTTTATTATATAAATCTTATATACTTTCCAATTTTGCATGTTTCATCTCTTCTATTCCAATATTTTCGTGAGAGTAGAAACCCTGGCTTCTATCTCTCTGTGCCCCAAACAGCTCTTGGCTGGATCTAGCATGACACTGGGGTTCTCTTTACTTTTGCTCATGTGAGCTGAAATTATCGTTTGGGGACCCCAGTTTCTGCTTCTGTGAAATGAACCCTTCCTTTGAACACATTTAGTAGTTGTGGGTAAGTGGCTGGAGCCTGCCTGCAGGAGCTGTGATGTGGAGGGTTCCAGGTACTTACAGCCCAGGCGGAGGACACGGAGACACCCTTGGTGCCCATCAGTTACCCAGCAGCTTGAGCCTCTGCAGTTGGCCCAGCCCTTTGCTAGGTCCTGGCCAGATGCCCGGCATAAGACATACATGTTTGAAAATGTAAAGGACAGGCTACCAAAGCATGCCAGTCGGCGTGCAGGGCAATAGAGTATTGATGGAACAGTTAATGGCAGTGGCATGAAGGAGGAGAGAATTGATGGAATCATATAGTTTGTATCTCAGACTCCTGAGCCCATTTGGAGTCCAGGGATATTTACTCAGCAGCCTACTACATGGGAACTTGTGAACGAGACTCAGTGGTGGGGGCAATACAGAATCACAGATTGTTGGTTATTCAGCAAGCACGGACTGTGGAGTCAGGCAGCCTGGTTTCAGTCCTGCTCTGACAGATCTTGGCTGTGTGACCTTGGACAGGTTGCTTCACCTGTGGTACTTCAGTTGCTTCACCTCTAAGGTAGGAGCAATTACAGCACCCATCTCATCAGACTGAATGATATGCAAGTACAGGGCTTAGCACTGTGCCTGCCTAGCGTGTCATAAATCCTCCACATCCTCTTTGAATGGTACTCGGGCGCCCCCTGGTGCTTGTGCTGTTGGGGACCCCTGATTCTCCTGTTTCTACAACAGCAACTGTTTTGTGGGTGGGCTGAGTTCCTTTCCACTCATTGATAAATGTCAGAGCTGTCAAGGCCTGGAAGAGCGTCCAGTCTAACCTACTCTACACTGGAGGAAACTGAGGCCCAGAGATGTAAAGTAACTTGGCCATAACCACACAGCCAGTTAATGATAGTGCTGGGACTAGAAGCTAGGTCTTCGGCTCCCAGTTCTGAGCCCCACAGAAAAGCCACCTGAGAGAGGAGCAAGGAGATAGAGAAGGAGAACCGGAAGAGAGACGGGAAGCACATGTGTATAATTAACACAGAGGGGAGAGTGACAGCCAGGCAGACGGATATGCACACAACCAAAAACAAGAAAGGAGAGGGAAAGACAGAGACAGATAGTGGGGGGAGAAAAAAAAAAGGGAGAGAGAAATTTAAAGACAGAGCCAAGAAATAGACATACATTGTATGGGAGGAGAAAGAGACAGAAAGGAAAGAGCTGGCCTGACTCCTAGCCTCACTGTCATAT